AAAAAAAAGAAAGTAAAGGAAGGGAAGCAGAAGACATTGGAAGGGTGCAAGAAGCCCAGTTTGAAGTCGAGAGTCTCCTTTGCCGACTGGGCGTGTTCTATGGGTCAATTTTGTAGGCTCAGATGGCTCATCACCTTTTTGGACCGCCCTCTAATCCGAAGTACCACCCTTCTTCTACCTGCTGGCCACTTATCACACCTGCCCAAGAGACACTGAACTCCTCAGGGAAGCGAAGTCACACGGGGAGAGCACCCTGGGCCATCGATGGTGGGTTTAGATGGTTCTCAGGCTCAAGCAGGAAAACAGCTTGATTTCCTCTAGAGATTCCAATGTTGTTAAAATAAGACACTAGTGGTGACACGTTGGGCTGCTAACCTTGAGGTCACTAGTGGTGACATGTTGGGCTGCTAACCTTGAGGTCAGAGGTTTGAAACGGATAGTGACTCCTCAGGCAAGAGGTGAGGCTTTTTACTCCTGTAAAGTGTTAGTCTCAGACACCCTCAGGGGCAGTTCTGCTCTGCTCTATAGGGTTGCCACGAGTCAGAAGTGATTCAATGTCAATGAGCTGAATGATTCCCACGTGGTGCAGAAAACAACCTTAAGGCAAAGAATCACTCTTCCCTACATGACTTCACAAGATAGCCCTTTGGTGATCTTTGCAAAAGTCAGACACAGACCTTCCAAGTTCACATTATTTTGCCTCATTAATGATTAGCTCAGTACAGCCCTCTCCACTGACAAGTGGGAAAAAATTCTTGTTAATCAATGGGTTGAGGTTTTCCTTTGTTCAAGACCCTAGCAAGTGGTCTTTCCTTATTCTGAGGCAGTACAGGAGATGAGATTTTCCTCCCTGTAAACCATCTTCTGACCTACTTACACCACCCTTTCATCCCATGTTCTCAACCCTAGTTCTTTCTAGTTTTAATCACTGTTCTATGAAGAATAAACAAAACAAACATTTCTCCTCTTCATCCCTGAGATGTGCTGATCTTTTTTTTTTTTTAGTTCATAGTCCTTTTATGAAGTTCAGTGATGAAAGCTATCAGAAGCATATTCTCCTGAAAGGGAATTTTTCTTAGAAAACAGGAAGGAAAAGCACAGCCCTCTGGCACAGCCACAGGTGCTGTAGCCTGCGCACCTCTGCAGAGGGGCTGTCCTTCAGTCGGCGAGTCAGCAGGAGAAGAGTCTGGATCGTCCTCATCATCTTCGAGCTCCAAGTCATCCATTTCCTGGAACAAAGACTCATCGACTTCCACATTACTTCCAGCATCCTCCAAGAACTGGATAGCAGATGTGTCAAGATTATGATCTGTTTCAAATAGTTGTTTCCCACTTCATTTATTTTTTCCTGATTGCTCCTCCTCTTTCATTTGTTCCTTCTTCAATACAAGAGCTCTGCATCAAATTTGGCCTTCCAACTTCTCGATTGTAACAGGAGTGCCATGAAATAGCTGCTTTTCTGCTTCTTCGGCTTCTTTTTCCTTCTGTTTCTTCTTCTCTTCTTTTTATATGATCTACTATTTCATTCAGTTTTTCTTGCACAGCTGATACGAAAGATCATTACCATGCCAAGGTTTTATTCTGCTGTAATGCCAGTAATTTTAAAATGACTGAAACATCATTTTCTGCCAGACTTTCCTGTGAGAATATTTCATAAAGAGGAGCATCATCTGGGTATTTTTCACTGTATGTGAACTTGAGCGCAGTCTGGACAGTATTGTCATTTCCCCCGGCCTCTGATGTCACAGGAATGGTGAAACTAGGTGGGGTTTCTGACAATAGTGTGGAGGAGTCAGGGGAGAGGGACTCCAGAGCCTCCAGCTCATTGCGCTGCTCCTTGCTGTAATCCGTCGTGACGCTCGGCGCTGCCCATGGATGGCCCAGACGGCGCAGCTGGTACCGCGCCATGCCTGGGAAGTCCAAGGCTGCCTGCCGGCGCAGGCGCAGACACCGGGTGAGATGCGCTGATGTAATGATCCGAGCATTTTGTTTGCAATGGTCCACCCCTATCACAATCTTGTTTCTCCGTTTGCCATCATCTTTTCCGATATAATCTCTTCTTACTAAATCTGGGTTTGGTTTTCCTTTGACACTGATGATACCAAAGAAGGCTGCCAAAACATGGCTTCTTTGGTACCTTCTTAGGGACCAAAACTTGCTGACCAAGCTACAGGATGAGCCCTGTGGTCCTCATCAAGTTAAAGACAGTTTCGACTGTTCCGGGTCTAGAGTCGGGTTTTCTAAAATCGGTGCTGTTCTGCCTAATTCCTCACTGGCATATTAGCTGCCCCTATTAGGCACCTAAAACAGTGTGTAAGTGCTGTGCTTGGAATAAATGTAATTAAGAGTCTGGAGGAGGGTTGAGAAGATAGCCACAACTTTTATTAGGGGTTATTCAGCTGAAGGTAATTGAAAACAGATGATCAGAGGGAGCCAGAAAAGTGACTTCTTTCAGTTCCCCGGAAAGAGGACATTCTTGTCATGACAAGAAGATGGCTCAGCGGAATGAGACCGTGAACCATTTCACAGATGATGCATAGGGTAAACTAATTGGGAAGGGATACATTAAATGGTGCTTCCCACTACTCGGAAGCAATTCCTCACGTACAGCTCTATGATTACACTGCACCCAGATATATTAATTTCCTACAGTGTCTAGACAGAAATTTACCAAGAGACAGTCATGTTCAATTTTACTAAATAATGGAATAAAAAAAAATCAAAGCCATCAAAGCAAAGAGGACTTTATCCTGTTGGAATCTGCCAGGATCTCGTTTGCATTGTAACTTCACTGACCCTCATTTTGGACAATAAAAAGGCAATGGTGTGGCTACATTTACACTGCATTATGTAAGATAATTACGATGTAGTAAGCAGTGAGTAGCTGGATCGATGTACATAAAAATCAGCACCCAGAACAGACAGTTCTGAATGATGCTTCAATTTACATTTCTCAAAGCAATCAGAAAATACCAGAAGCTGTTTTGATGGCTCCTTATAGATTCTGCTTCCAAGAAAGTTCATAGGAATTCTAAGAGAAATGATGAGTGCATTGTTCCTAAACACTTGTTTAACATAAATTCATAAATTATGTTCTCAATACTCGGTGCAGCAGCAAACATTTCATACCAAGCCAATGAGGCTGCTACTCTCACTTTGGAAATTAACTCTATGGCCTCTCAATTCTGACCTTCTTCACAAGGCTGAAGATCTTACCTGCACAATATTGGTGGGATTGCGGATGTAGATGCCAGATGGAGCCAGCAGTTCAGGACTGGAGAGCCCCTCAGCACCAGAAACTCTGATGACCACATTGTTTCTTATTATATTTCCCTGTTCTGATGGGTCTATTTATGCAAAAAAATTAATCAAAGGGATTAATGAACATAATTGAAATATCCACAACTCAACATTCTTGATTATACCAACATACATGACAGTGCACACACACATGAAAACACTGAGAAAATATTGAGAAAACATGTAGCATGTTCAACAAATTTAAAGGCAACTAACTTTTGCCAACAGACCAATCTAAGAACTGCAAGATCATTTAAATGGAGTGGAATAAAATGAAAGCCAGTTTACATAGTTACCAATTTTTCTTCTCAGACTTGTTTCCCAAGAGAGGCTGCTCATCTCCAGGTATGTACCTGAGAACAAAAGACCATGAGACCCCCATGCTTCTCAGGTGACTCAGGAAAACAAGAGGCATTTGCATTCTACTTCTTCTTCAGCTTATGGAGTTGTTTTGTTTTTGATTTTGAGTTTTTATCCATGAACTAGGCATGAACTTTTAAGTTCTAGGGATTGTTGGATCAGAAATTAAATTGAGGAGATTATAACTACTGAGACACACACCAAAAAATGTATAAACATGTTTTTAATAGAAACTCAATTTTCTTTGTAAACTTTCACTCACACTACAATAAAATGCCACCCTACAAAAGAAACAGAGAAATCTATCTACTACTTAATTTCTGAGAAATTGTCTAAATGATGTCTCCACCATCAAATGCCACACACCCTAATGTCAGCCTCGGCCCCATCCTGCTAACCAATCACTGGCACGCCTCCCTCTCCTCCTGAACCATCTATGCTGCCCTGAGGGAGCAGCCGAGGTGGCACTTGGAACCCGCATGTCTAAAATACTGAGGTTTAGACTCTAAGAGATGGGTTATGTGAAAGAGATATATTAGTCACTTCCACAAAGAGAATACGGAGGAGTTTCACAATGCCCCTCCTGGCTTGGTCTATAGGTCACATTTCCAACTCCGTGGGACCACTAGTGTGGTATTAATTCTTCTAAAAGAGCGTATTACCACAGTGGAAAAATAGGATTAAAAGATAAAGGAATTTTTTCATGAATTTTGAAGCACCTTGTGTATCTATAGATGCACTTCACTGGTTGTGCTTATGTAGAGAGCCCAGCCAGAAGCCTTCCTGAATTTACTCTCTCAAGTTTCAGCAAACTTGTCCTTTTCACGGGCCAAAGTAAAAGAAATATAAGTAAAGGCACTCTCAAGCCTGTTAGTTTGTCTCCTCCATAGCTCTTTTTCTACACTTGTTCTTTAACTGGTCACCTCTATTTTCCTTAGTTATCTGATGTTTAGAGTTAGAATTGTCTTTGAAAGCAAGTTTATACAGTCCACATTTTCTCAGTCAATAGTTTTCCCTCTCAAGGTTAGAACCTTTATACGCTTTTATCTCATCAGATAATTATTAAGAAAAACACATCACAGAAGTAATTCAAATATAAAAAAAACTAACAAATATACTTTATTCTTAATTTCAGTGAAAACCTTTACTTTGATTTTTCATTTGGATGACAGGTTCCCTTTGTTTTTGGTTCTTTCAACAAAGCTAGCTGCAATGAGTTCATTCATGTGTTAAGTACTAAGGACTTGTCATCGGTAAATAAATGAATATATCATAATCAGAATGTCACAAACATGACATATAATTTTTAATTGATATATGCTAACTGGTGTTCCAAGGGCTGAAACAGCAGGACTTGACCTGGAGACTGTTCGAAAGCTGGGGTTTGAAATTAACTCAACAGTAACAAGTTTGGTCTTATTTTTAGAATGAGGATGAACAGCATGAACAGAGGGGGTTAAAATCTGGGCAAAGGCCCTAAGGCAAGAGAAAACATATCACATTAAAAGAATTACACTGAAACATATAATATGCTGGTGTCATTAGCATATTGTATGTTTAAGTTTCATTCTCTAGTAACACTAAAGTGACACTGGTGTATACAAGAAAAGGGAAAAACAAAAATAGATTCAACTCATAGTGACCCTGTAGAACAGAGTAAAACTACCCCCAAAGGTCATCAATGCTATAATTCTTATGAAAGCGGACCACCACATCTTTCTTCCACTGAGCAGCTCGTGGATTTGAACCACTGACATTTCAGTTAGCATCTGAGTGCTTAACAACTGAGCCATTAGGGCTCCCTGGAGAGTAGGGGACAAAAAGCAAAATAAGGTTGCCAAGTTAAGCACTGGTAAGGTCACTGTATTAGGAAACTCAAGGGGTTTAAATGAAAGGGATGATGAAATTGAAATTTAAGAATAATGCTAGTTTTATGCGTGTGGGTTTTGTTGCTGTTTGTATGTTTTTCTGATACAGGATGATCTGTAAGAGGCAAAATCATATGAAGGTGACCAGTTCTGAAAACTTGAAGCATGGCCTTCTTTTTTTTTTGTTTGCATGGCCTTCTTTAGCAAGCCAATGGAACAGTTAAGAACAAAATCCTTGGCTTGAAAATCTATGAGAGTGTAAAAGATACACTTACTTGACTGATGTTGTACTGTGAACATGGTTGGTAGGAAATTTAAAAACCTGCCCTTTGTACATGTATGAACCTGAACTAAAAATTATTACCTTTAAAAGATCAATTTCCTATTAGCAATGGTTAGTAAGTCAAATAGTCATAACTAAATTTAAATTTTGAATTTTGGACTATGATCTATTTCCAATGACCAGAGGCCAAGTTTTTATAAATAGGAAATTCACAATTTTAGGCTAATTCCTTTTGAAAATATATGGGTCCTCCTCAAGAAGACCAGAAGTCAGTCAGGAATTTGGTTTCACTTACCCACCAGCAGTGCGTGGCCTAAAATATTGTAGAACACGTTACTGTCCACTGTCACACCCGTTGTCCTAGACATGCTGAGTCCTCTACTGAAGGAGTTCCAAACTGAGCAGCCCTGTATGTAGGAATCTGAATAGGAAAGATCAAGGAAAGATTTACAACACTGCCACTTCCCTTGCTAGAGAACTACTTCCAACTCACGGCTGATGCCATGTGTGTCCAAGAAGAAATATGCTCAGCAAGGCTATTATACTTACTGAAGCAGATTACCAGACCTTTCTTCCTTGATACCGCTAGATAGGTTCAAACCACCAACCTTTAGGCAAACTATGTGCACCGCCGAGGAAACTTATAAGAATGGAGTCCAGATTAAAATATACCAAGCAAGAAAAACTTGTGTTTTCCA